CTTCTTTGTCTTACGTTTTTTAAGATAAACAATATACGCATAAGGTGATATCGCATGGGTGTCAGGTTCACCTAAAACACGGCTGTTTTGATGAACTCCTCTTACCGGGTAACAAGTTATTTTAAATTTTCATTAGTACATAACAATTCAAACGCTTGGAAAAAAACTTATTGGTTGAGGTCTTTGTACATCACACATTTTTCGACATTCCATATACATTGTAGTGACTTATATTTCACATAAAGCAATTGGTTACCACGAAAACACAAAAATACATAACTACACATGCACATAAAAGTGAACACGTTCCTACAGATATTAACACTTTCGCACATCGCACCTGGTGTCACTTTATTGAAATATTTTCAATGTGCTCTTTATTCATTTTATGGCTGAAGTTATATTTATGATTTTTCAGGACAGTGTACAGTCGTGTTTAAATCTTTCTGAAATTCAGCCGTGCCCTCTTTGCAGCAATTATAGACTGAAGCAAAGTATGGTAGCAAAAGTTATATAGATGTAAGTTTCATGTAATATATACATTGTTGTGTTTTGTGAATAAAATAAGACAATTACACGGACGTACTGTCTGTAAAGAAGAGGTTTACCCAGACTCATATATTCCACTTCTGTTAACTGACGTCATGTTGTTTTATTCTTTCTCAAGGCAAAGTTTCAAAATTTCCTTAATTACACGCATTTATTTTGACATGAATAAATGTGGTTTTGTTATAAATACAAATTGGTTCTCTTTTATATCTTTTAGAATCAAATTCTTAGGCGGAATTGATGTCGACACTTTTCATAAAATTTGATGTCAATTAAAGCATATATGATATAAGCATTTTGCGCGCATTTGAAAATGCTAAAACACTTACTTGGCTATTAATATGCAAAAAAATCAAATATATAAAATATAAAGAATTAACTCGAACACACCACAATTGGTTTGATATAGATGCACTGTGCATTGCGGACTTTATTTTATTAAATTAGTTTTTCTTTTTCTTTTAAACATATTACTGTATCAAAAATATGTATTGCTTTACACGTTTAATCACTTTTATTCAACATTCTGTGCTCAATAGGTAACAACAGGGTTTTCAAAGCGGAATATAATGTAAGATTGAAATGTCTTGATTGGCAAAGTTAGTAAAGTTCATTTTTAGAATGTCATACACATTAAATTTTATCACAAGTTCGAGCCTCAACAAGTTGTCTTCTTTAATTTTACATTAGAAAAATGAATTGGGATAGAAAGGGCAGTTTTGTTATGATATTTAAAAATTTAGATATACATGCACGGGATGATAGTGATTTTTATCCTGTATAGTGTGTAGTATGTAGTAGTCATAGTTTACTTTTGCAGTGCAATAGTATTTTTTTCCGCGCAAACTTAACTATAGTTGAAACAGTCTGTGTGTACAGGTATATCATGCATTTCCGTATAAGTTTGCACCAACGTGCTAAATAGGGCTAAATATAGCTACATTTAATAACAAAATGAGAACGTTAATAGAAAATATCACAAGCATTTATAATCTTTACAATAAATGATACAAAACTTTCTTACCTGATTGATAATTATAAAGCATTTTTTTGGGGAAAAGGTGCAATCCGGAGCCTAGCTGTCTTGCATTGATATTTTACCACATCCTTACCTACTGCATTACGCTGAGAGTTGGTTAATTTGTTGATAATTTAATTTATATAGCTAGCCTGTTTGAAGATAATAAACACAATATGATAGCTGTTTTACACCTGGATAGTGGACTTGACCACCTCGTCACTTAATTATCATACTAAACGCACTAGTACTTGTGCGCACGTGAAACATATTGCGTTGATACGTAAATATTTTCACGTGTGCCACGTAAAATAGTCGCATTCGCATGTATTAACTAAAATATTTCCCTATATTATTTTATGCAATTGTCACATATGATAATACGTTATATTTTATTATCTGAATTTGATTTCATACTATCAGATTAATGCTATAGGCAATGGGAGGATATTTTGATTTATATTTTGTGAGAATAATCACTTTATTTTTAGAGATGACACACTGTAAGAGATTCTATATTCAACTTACCTAGTTAAACAGTCTTAACAATAAAAAAATAATTAATCTACACTATAGTATATTGAAAGGTATTCATTTCGTTGCTGAGATAGTTTTTGAAACAATTGAAACAAACAATAATCCAAATTTGTTATGTTCAACGCTTTTTATATAAATGAGAAGTTATAGATGGGTATTCCGCCTTTTACTTAACTGGATATCATTGTGCAAACACGGATCTACATCTGAGTACTTAGCAAATATCTGTACTTTTAAGCCCTTTTTCAAACGAATTGACTCCTACTAACGATGCTAATATACATCGTAAAACGATTCAAAAAGATTATGTCAGCACTTTTTCCCAATACAATGTTATTTTGTATCAATATATTTTTAATCAAATAAAACACTCTTTACATAGAAGTAAGATTACCATTTATCATTTATTATTACAGGTGTTGAAAATAAATATATTTCGTAAAGGTTTTATAATAAAAACATATTTATAACTTATCAATCCGTCATAGATTAATCATTTCATTTAAATCCTGTGTAATTGGTTGCTTAAAATGACATCTTTATCTCAATAATATAAAATATTTTTGAAATTTGCGTTAGAAAAAAAAATGTATATATGTATTACGCTCATAAAATGCTTGTGTATAGTCTTTTTTGAAAGTTGTGATAACTATTTCATGACACTATTTAAACAGGATTTTAAACTCTCTTTTTCAGATACACACATGCCGAAGAAGATTGTAATATCTGGAGATAACATTTCCTACGTCACGAATAGACACCGTCACACTGGTCTACGTAACATTCCTATAGATGATTGATATATTTAAGTGCTTTTAAGAACTGTGTGTTTGTATGACGAATTTCTGTGAATACGGATTTTTAGTTTTTAATGATTATTATTAAAACTTTCTGTAATAATCAATTTGTGCTATGGACTCATTTTCCTAAAATAATATGTGAATGCTAACACAAATGATATGAATATCTTTAAAATGTTTTATGGGTGTAATACAAGTGGCTCATAAAAATCATTGTTAAGATAAATAGAATCGAAATTCAAGTTGGTATAGTTTGTTCTAGATTTAAACAACATGCAATTCATAAAGGTTACGGCTTGAAAATATCGAAAAATGTACATGTTACTGTATAATTCGATCTTTAAAGAAAATGTCGCAGTGCGGATTTTCTCCACTGTGATACGTATTTCATGACTCTTTATCGCAACATACCGGTATATCGCCGTTGGGTTGCAACGCTACATTAATTTGTCCCTCGATCTGGAATAAGGCTTGCAACAAAATATGACTTTTGTAGCGAAAACATGTTTATTTTGTTTAATATATGAATACATATTGAATATATGTTTATGAAATAATAAATATTTAGGAGTGACTCGATTTGGTTTTTACTTTATTATTTGAAATACTCCAATTGTGAAGATAAAGTTCTTAAGCATATGAAGTTACAGTTCCCATTCAAAATGTGTAATAAAACATGTTCTATTGTACAAGTCTGCATTTCGGTCATGTATACGTGTCACTTATATGTAAATGCATGTTTTTGATATTATCTGTATCTTCTTTTATCAAGAAAATACAGTTCTGTATTCCCCGTGGACAACTAAAAAAATGCATTTTCCGTATATCCCCTGTATATATTGAAAATACGATTCCGTATATCCCCTGTATATGTAGAAAATACGATTCCGTATATCTTCTGTATATGTAGAAAATACGATTCCGTATATCATCTGTATATTGTGGGAAAATACGAGTCCGTATATCCTCTGTATATGTAGAATATACGGTTCCGTATATCCTCTGTATACGTAGAAAATACGAGTCCGTATATCCTCTGTATATGTAGAAAAATACGGTCCCGTATATCCTTTGTATATTTATAGTATACTAGGGATAACAACCTTTATATAGTCCGTATACGGGATTTTATTCTCCGTATACTTCAAAAGTACGAACAAATATACGTACATGTATATGGGGCAAATACGGAATTCCGTATATGCCTGATGCATATACGGACTTCCCGTATACCCGGTGTTCCCTATACGGACTCGTATACTTGGTCCGTATATTCGACGAATACATCCTGTACACGCCCGTATATGTCAAAAATACGGGACCGTACATTCCCGTATATCAGTATAATTTTCGCAGTGTTCTGGTGTTATTTACAGAAATCTGAGTCCCAGAGCTGAGATGTTCGGTACAATATAGTCACCATTAAGAGAAGGTTAGCTCCCATATAGACAAGCAAGTTGCATCTGGTCAGTTAAGTTCACTGCCATGTAGGGGTCACCAAGTACGCAGTTCCCCGTCTCTTCTAAGCTGCCTATAATGTCATTTGGTAAGTTGCTTGTAAGGCCGACAAGCAATTTATATGACAGTTTGTATGGGATCTATTTGGATGCAGGCGTCTATTAATAGTGATCATTACAAATGTTAGTACAATATTGGATTGCGTGATTGGGGGTTTCTTATCGCAGAAATAGAATGAGCATCTTGCAGAACTGAAGTAGAAATTGTCATGATGTTATCTGTTAGGTTTAGCTCTTGAAACAATGTCAGAGTTATAACAGTTATGAAAGGAAATGTGTTGTCTTTTTGGGAGGTAAGAAAATAAGACTGGAGATTTATGATTCAGTGAGGTTATTGTAATGTGGTTCACAGATTGTGGGTGAAGATTACTTCTTGTTGGTCATTGAATATAGATCTGAGTCTGGATTGTTTGTTGTCCAGATAAGGTCTTATATTGAGGATTGGGGTATAATCCTCAGGATGCTCATGCTGTTAAGCTAGTAAATGTGATAGGTATTGCGGTAGTCTCTAGACATAGGCTGCACACATATCTTTGCATCTGAGTATGAACCAGTGCATGAGTGGGTTAGAGTGTTTTGACAGTAGTAAGAGATAAGTCTTCAGTGAATCAATTAGAAGGAGGTTTCTATGTTTGTCGGTGATTGTTAGAGACTAATGTTGGTAAATTCTTCTCTGGGTGCTCCTGGTGACAATTCATTCTAATAAATTCTACAATGGGCTGCTCAGGTGATTGAGTGAGTCGTAGAATTCTGCATAGTGGGCTGCTCAGGTGATTGAGTAAGCCTTTGTGGGGCTGCTCAGCTGATCAAATCATAGCTGAGCTGCTCAGGTGATTGGTTAAAGATAATCACCTATTTGGTACATGTACTTGAGCATGGTACAGTACCAGTACTGGTAAGGATCCAGGAAGTCATTCAATAGGCTCGTATTGATTTCTGGATTAGATACTAGAAAGGTCTAATCTGGCAGCCAGCCTTTTCAAATAGGGCGGGGAGGAGTGTGGTGGTCACTGACCTAACCGATATATAGTGGTGTTTGACCTTGGTGAGATGGGACGTCCCAGTATTCCCACAGTCCACATCCTGGTTTCCTGTTGAATGGACAAGCAATAAACTGCTCAGATTAATATATTTGATTACATCCGTGTTTCAAAGTATCCAAAGAACTTGAACATCTGTGTAAGTTTGATATACCATTAAAGATTTACTATAAGTTTTACATTCGTTTTACAACTTCTGATAAATTTATAGACAAATGTTTTACATTCGCTTTACAAGTTCTGCTAAATTTATGGACAAAAGTTACAATTCCTGATAAATTTTATTTAAAGACAAACATTTTACATTTGTTTCCCAATTTTCTGATGTATTTACAGCATAAGGAGATGATAGTACGAGCAGATGGTTGCTATGAATATCACATGAATCACCAGGATACCGTCGATGCTAACATAATTATTGTATGGTTTAATATCCGTTATTTGTGTCCTTAATTAAAGTAAGCTATATAAACTTTGCAGTTGGACCCCAACGTGCGCTTGACCATAACATGCCTTGTTTCACTGCAAACTGTATATGTCGGCAATAAATAAACGTTTATATATACGCTACTCCGCTGTACAACTCTCTACTTCACAACATTTCAGTTGTATACTAATTTACAAATATAAACACATACTTTATAAAAGATAAATTATTATAAATAACTTTAATAAATAAATATGATATGGCATTAAATCACGAAAACAGTTTCTAACTCAAATCATTTTTTGGATGATGACATTTGGACCTGTGAGCATTCTTCCACTTTCTTGATTTCGTCATACCCCTTGAGCATAAACTTCACAAATTCTGGAAAAGTAAAAAAAAAATGTTTTGTTATAATTATGACTGTCGGCTTGTTGTACTGTACATGGTGAGATATTGCTACGGTCATGTCGGCGTTGACGTTGCTGACGCAGTTGCCTGCAGACAACTTTAATGTTGATCTTTTTCTTTAATTCTCAATGGACTGCCTTCACACCTGAACGCAACAACCCTTTGGACACGACCTTCAAGTTGACCATAATGAACTTGACCGTAACTCATCAACAAGGTCAATTGTTTATATTTTGTTTGATTTCTGATTTATTAATGGACTGTCTTTAAACTTGGACACAACAAGGTTTAAGATAATTTTAAGAATACCAAACTGAAGTTGACATTGACTTTTAAATGACCTTGAACTTGTGTTTTGCTTGATTTTTGCTTAAATTACGTTAATTCTGGAATTTATTGACGGCATTTATTCATATTGAAACAAGACAACATTTGTAACAAAGTCGACATGTTGGATAATTATACATGAGTGTAACTTTTAAATGACATTGTCCACCTAGTTCCATATTTGTTTAGGATTCTTATCTGTATGTAGACCAGATACTTTACATTTTTATTTGTTGCCCCAAAACTTTGACACATTTGGAATGTAAGTTTTGTAAGGAGCACGACGCACATCTCAATTAAACGTGCATTCCAAATTTCTTTTTTTTTTGGTACATAAAGTTCATTGTTTCCATTGACACTTCAGGGTTATGAAAAAATTCTATTGGTCAAAAATACTTTGATCTTTAACTATACCTTCAACATCAACTTGCTTGTCTCCATCAGCGTCCATCATTTTAAACAACTGGTTGGTCTCCTCGGCCGTTAACGGCTCCCCAAAATACATCAAAGCTTTCCGGAGTTCTTTAAAATCTAAATCACCGGTCCCGTCTCTGTCAAACATTTTGAAAGCTTCTCGTAACTCGACATCAAACGCACTAGGGTCTTTTAAATGTTTCTTTAACATATCAACATACTCATCATACGTAATTTTGTCGTTATCTGTGAATATAAAATACAAATACAAGTACATACTGAATAAAGCTAGGTATACGTATGTTTTCCATTTAATATGTGTCCTCCAGCGAAAATTACACATTTATTTCCCAACACGCCATCTTCTCTATTCCACCTTTGTAAACCGGTCACGTGCAGTATTTTGGATCACAGGCGTTCCGGTGTGGCGTGAATTTTGTCAGACCCGTGAGAAACGTAAGACTTTACGTTCTGCGCATGCGCAGGTAGTTGTCGGACGGGGCCGTGAGAAATGTAAGACTTTCTGGTACAATTGTGTGTAAACCTCGTTTAGAAGCTCATTAATTAATCCAAGTGCAGTTCTTCCTTTTATTCATGAGCATAGAGATATTTTCTACGATACCAACTTTTATTTTTCTGTGACAACGTATCGTATGGATGAAATATTGTCCAAATCAGTGGCAGACTTTCGACATCGTTCGTTCCCGATGTCGAGTTGATGGAAAATCGTGGAAAATCGAAGAGCTTTGATCGAGGTAAGCTTGTTTTGATATTTTATATTAGAATGTGGTTATTTCAAGCATCGATGAAAGTATGTTAGTTTTTATTAATGCTTACAGGTACTGTAGGCCATGTCAGTCTGTTTTAAGAAATGGGCGGTATGTAGCTCAACCTTTCGTTTCTTAATTTTGTTTTAGCCGACCAGCCAGCCGACATCTGTAGATCTAGGGGTATGGCACACTTAAGTTTACTGATATATTGTCTAATTATATGTATTTGATTTGAATAAGTGTCGGCACGGCCCTAACATACTCGGCCCCGAGTCAGCTCGGCCCTATTCCAACTCGGCACAGATCAACTCCATAGTCAAATCGGCCCATTTAAAAATTTATTAATCTGATTATCAGTGTTAATATATTGGTTTGTTTTATCACTCTCTGTTGTTGGAACCATATTATTGATATATAGAAAATATATATAGATGGTTGATGTCGGAATAGAGAAGGTTTATCCGGTGAGCGAGAAAGTGTATCTTGGCGAGCTTTAGCGAACCAAGATTCACTTTCGCAGCGAACCGGATAAACCTTCTCCATCCCGACATCAACCATGTATTTGATTTATCCTGCTTTAATCTTGTTTTTATAATAATTAGATGGTTTCATTCTTCTTTTTCCCCGATAAAATAGCATCTATATGTAGTTTTGTTTTGCTGCTAAACACGTGACGTAATCATATGACGTAATGACTGGAGATAGATAAGTTTATCTGGCAAAGCTTTATCCAGCTGATGATATAGACAGTAGCAGGATAAATGGACTTATTTGACACAAACGTTGAAAGACGTTTTCTGAAATTATTATTACATTTTTGGTAATAGAGTTTTCAATGATTTGGGATATATGAATTCATTACGATCCATCCTTGTGACATTGCAAAATACATTGCCTGTTGATAAATGCACTACATGTTTGTCATACCAATAATGGTCAAATAATCATAAAATAATCTTCCCGACCAGCACCCGTAACTATATATAATATTATATATTATTTTTGTCAAAACAAATGTGCCGAACGCCCGTGTAACCAAATAGTCCAAGAAACCATTGATTGTTTAAAGTTGCAAGCCTATTTTGGCAACTCGACATTGACGGCTGCTCGCATATATGGTTTATTCCGGTAGCAAAGGTAGTAACAAATACCATTGCACATGGAAATATCTAAGATAATAAGATAGGTTGATAAAGCAAGAGCTGTCATAGGAGACAGCGAAGCTCGACCAAGTTAATACTGAACGCAGTAGGGAAGAAAAAACTATGGAAGAAAAACCACTTCTTAAAGTAAATTCTAAGTTCAAAGGGAGATATATCTGAAAATATTGCTTCAAGAGTTATGAACCTTGTTACATAAGATATGGTTGATGATAAGAAATACGTTTTTGAAGTTTGAGGTAGATACCTTTAAAACTAAGGAATTTATAGTAAAATTAACATTTTTTAAGTAAAAAAAGCAAAGTTCATGGGGAGATAATTCTTGCAATATTGGTGCTAGAGTTATGAACCTTGTTAACCATAAAAAGTTATTGGTGATTTGAAGACTGAAAGTGATACTGAAATATTTTTCTGCACCAAGACTTTAATCTAAAATCTGGACACGGATGCCGACGCCGACGCCGGGGCGAGAAGGACAGATTTCCATATAGTTCGTATAGTCGAGCTAATGATATGTATTTAAATTTTAATACTTACGATCGGAATCAAACTTTTTTAATATGTCTTCCACCTCAGCACCCGTCGGATTATATCCTATACACCGTAGCACGTTTCCTAACTCATTCTGAGTGATAAAACCGTCGCCATTTTTGTCAAATAAATCGAACACTTCTTTTTCTCGCAACTCTATAAAAATAGAAATACAAATTGTTATAAAATAAACAGACTTATTACAAGTGATTATGTGACTGCAGGTGGTGTTTTTGTGCGATTTTTTTTTCATAAATAGCAAGCTAAATGGTGCCAGCGTTTTCAAAACTAGGCAAAACATATCTGTAAAAATCACATAAAAGCATTGTGTTGTCAATGATTTTGAGTCATAAAATGGAAATTCGTTTATAAAAAAGTTGGGACTTAATTCGAAAACTATTTACTACATTTTATGGGGCGTGTGTGGCCGAGTGGTTAAGTTCGTTGAAACCACTTACCCCCCCCCCCCACCACCGCTTAGCGTTGGTTTCCCGGACATTTAATTTTGATTCTTTATGTGAGGGGCTATCCAGGGGCTGTTTCTCTCAGGTCCGAAATAATGCGGGAAAGGGGCCCCTGAGGTTTTCCTCCATCAAAAAGCGAAGTGCCATATTGACTATTTAGACAATTATGTTAACATATTAAAAAGCAAATGTCTTTCTTACGTTATATAGTATGACTTCAAGATATTTATACATATATAAAAATGTATTATTATTCTGGTTTTATTGATCTATCAATTATGAATACGTTATATTACTCATTTGAATGATCGATCACACTTCGGGTCTGTCCGTGTAGTTTAGGAGAATTAATATGGAGTATATAACTAATATTTTGAGAAAGTCGCAATAGCTTAACGTATAGGTCGTGGCGACATCTGCAATAAAACATTTGGATAAGTCGAGGTCTGTGGTTCGATTCCTACTGTTGCCATTTGTCTTTGAACCTAGTATTTCTTTATTTTGCAGTATACTTTAATGGAAATGGCCAAGTTTTTGCAAAATTGTCTACACGTATATGAAGCAACTTAGGAACGATGTTTTGTCTCGTTTTGCTCAGTATTTAACGGCATGGAAATAACATGTATTGTTTTTATTCCGAATGAATTTTAGATATTAATTCTTGAACAATGTTGTTTTAAAAAAGAATGGACCTTACCAAAATAAGTGCAAAACATATTAAAAAACGAGCATCATAATAAACAATATTACTTCAATAAAGTTGAAAAATGAAAAGAAACAACATTGACATATGGGTTCGATCTTACAAACGTAGGCATTTTGAAAAAATAAAACTGTTTTCGTATTACGTTATAAAACCCGTCTATTCCTTTTTTCTCGCAAGAAAGTACAGGTTAAAATAATAGGATCCAAAAAAGGACAGTGATCGGAAGTAAAATATGCTTGTACTTGCAAGCCAGGATATACATATTGAATTGTTTAGGCTCGCAAGACAGGGTACAGTGATTTCGTTTATATACTGTGCTATTGCGTTATAACGCATTGTATAACTATTTCATTTTTAATCATACATATCACGGACATTACCGAAAATCTATCGAAGATTAATATATTGTGTGCATTGACCGTATAACAAGTACGCAAAAGACGGGTAAATAAAACAAACATTATTAGGCTATTAAACACAATACTAAATTATATTGGACGAGTACATGACAAACTTATATAACACAAGTGCTAGTGATCGAGTCCAATATGATCAGTATTATTCAACATTGTATAATTATTTTTTTATTTATCACCACCAATTATTTACTTTTTAAAAAGAATTTGTTACTAACATTAAGAATTCATTAGACTATTTCGACCAGGAAAACGAAAACGTGGCTAGATGGAGTACAATATGGACTTGATATGGACTTTTGGGCTTAGGAAATGGTTAAATTGGATACAATAATAATTTCTACTGGAGCATCACGTAGTGCGAACGCTGGAAGTGTATTGGTTACTACTAAAAGGTGTGAAATAAAGGTAGATATGTACAGTTATCCAATATGTACCTACATATTATACCACAACTAATACTAATTCTCAGCTATTTATTATATATAAAAGTTAATATAGTTTACCAAGAAATTGTTCCGGGCGTAGTTCGTCGTCACTCATGTTTTATTCAATGGTTAAATCCTGAAAATATCGCGTACATACATGTAAATTTACATGTATACATTCACTGTCTATTATTAATAATAATTATATATCTTTACCCTATATTATTAACAAAACCATTGATTCATCAAATTTTGGTAGAAACATTGTACATCATCATCATCACCATCATCATCATCATCATCATCATCATCAACAACAACAACATGATCATCATCACCATCGTCATCATCATCACCATAATAATCATCATCATCATCATCATCACCATACTCATCATCATCATCATCATCATCATCATCATCATCACTATACTCATCATCATTATCAGCAGCAACACATCGTCATATTTATCATCAAGATCATAATTATCATTTTGAGAACATAATCAACATAACTAGCAGTACAATATCATTATCATCTTCATCATCATCGTCATCATCATCATCATTTTATTATTATCATCATCATCATCATCATTATCATCATCATCATCAGTACATATTTATCATCATCTTATTCATCATCTTCAACATCATTATCATCATCATCAGTAGCGATCATTATCGGTACATCATCATGTTCAGCAGCAGCAGCAGCAGCAGCAGTATAATCAGCACCACTGAGAGCTATATGCTATATTCATTGTAAGCTATGTGCTATATTCATTGAGAGCTATGTGCAGCGTGACAATGCCTATCACGGACCGGACTCCTCTACTTAATTCAATCAGTCTTTTATGACAAAATAGCACTTAAGAATACAAATATGGCAATGAAATTTGAAAATTGGTGATACCTTGCAATCAACCAGCAAAATATAAATGTTTCAACGTGACTTAATTTCTTATACATGTATTATTAATTTTTTTAATCTGAAATTATTGAAATATTATAACAAATATAAGTTTTAACATTCTAGAGCAGTGCAACTTTATAAATAAAGAACGATACCTTTTACTCGAATTTCAAAACATGCAATCCATCTAGTAACAAATCCCATTCAAGAAGAAGAAAAAAGAAATTCAGATTAGTAAAAACATGTATAATATTATGTTTACAGTTAACTTTTTTTATAAACTCATTTTGTAAGTACCGGATTAAAAATCCTTTTTATAACATTATTGAGACCGATTTTATATATAATATATTTATATGTATATTCTCCAGCTATGTTCATATACAACTAATCCCTTATTTATTCATATCCTTTAATAGTTTAAAATGTTAACTTATAAAAAGATTCAATACATGGTTTGAATGTAACTTAATGGAGCGACGTCTGAAGTGGGATCTATTTTCTTCCCGCGGATTAAAACATGACGCTGTAATGCAGTAATTCATCACCTTAACCACTAGGCCACCACTTCCCTTAAATATAATACATGTATTGAATTCAACACTCAAAAATTCGTTTCATTAAATATTATTTACTTTTATTCAATCGACAAAGCATTGCTCTGTATACATCTATAATATTTATAATGAAATATCATTTATTTTGAAGTGCTGATAAAGCTATAAATCTCCAGCATGTAGATAATAAAATAATTGTTTTAATTTAGAAAAAAAAAATCATTCCAAAATGCCTGTATGAAAAAAAGGCTTTAATATAGATTTCGCATTAGACATACATGTAGGTTATTTACTTTAACTTCAAACCGCATGCCATTCCATTTTCATATTTAATATTCATATTAGCGTTCATTATTTTGAACAAAACATACATTTTCATTCAAATGACATTGCATTCCATATAAACATATATTATTTATTTCAATCCCCTAAATGAAACATTATTAACGTTAATTTTTAACTTAAATTCAAACAGCATAACATTCTATATATGTAATTTGTTTCAAACGACAATTACAGGATGTACGTGTTATCTCTTTCTTTAAAAAATGTGTAATTTTGTTGTTTGATTGCAAAATATTACACACCAATCAGTATAAAAAAATCACGGCAATACTGTACATTTGCAGCCGAAACATGCGCGTAATAAGACCTAAATTGTATTAGTCTCCCTTTATTTGTACACGAGTCATTGAAATACAAATACACTTTATTGATGTACATTTTGTAAAATCAAATTGTTTTACAAGCAGACGGTTCCATTAATCTTCTTAAATTTGTGTAATAGATTCTGCCTCACTTTGAATTTGGAACAGTCCATTCAATATTTAAGGGGTTTTAATGTCGGAAAAAACAAAAATACTGAGCTACAAACAGAATGTAGCCTGGTCAGACTGCCCGAAAGTTCAGAATGGCCTGTCTCTATGCTGGTAGTTTCTATTCCTACAGATATAGGGATAATAAAATAAATATTAAAAATTGTTAAGCAGCTTAAATGGTGGAAGAAGATCTCGGTAACCCCTCTGTGCATTACTTCATGCACAAACAATGGCTCTTGTTTAGAACCACCCACAGGAGAGCTTCCTTGTATGACACTAGTTTTGTTTATAGCAACTAGTTTTGTTTATAGCCTACTTGTAATAAAACACACTGCCGTTTTAATGAGAAGGGAGATGAAACAAGAATTGATAGATGACAATTGAAGAATCAGTTTAATAGAGTCGGTTAATGTTACTGCGCTCCCGGATAAAGACCTAGAACTCGAACAGTGGGCTTTTTTTAATTGATTCTGATTGTCAGACATATTTTTCAATCAAAATTTTACAATTGACTTTATCTTCCGCTCGATATAAAATAAATAAATTCGTTACTCTGCTTTTGCTTACATCTGAAATCACATGGTACAACTACCTCCAATCCGCAATAACTCCGGGAATATATTGAACTATCGTCGAGGTGTACCGATTTTAGCACTAGCAATATTCCTATAACGAGGGAAGTACAAATCAGACTGTTTGAGTCGAGTCCATATATGTAAGCATATACTAAACACAGTACACTAAAATACAAGAAACTTAATAAGTCTAATGTCCGTAAAAATGAAACACTATTTAAGCTATGAAAGAGTAACAAATGAAAGACTCATAACGCTCTGAAAACAACTGTAAAAACAGATCTATTGTAAATTGTTGGACACTTGTGCCATTGAAATATAACATAAACACCATTTATAAGGTTATCTGTTTTAGTTTATTTATTTACAATGACAAGTAATATTAATTCTTTATACTTAGACAAGGCGTTAGAAGACAATAACTTTAAATCACAAATAGCAAGTAAGTTAAAAGTTCACGACACAATGATAGACTGATCTGAAATTTTGCTCACAAGTTATTAATCCAGACTTACATCAAATGTTTCTCAAGTCTCAAAAAATTTTTTTTCCCAGTCCCTTCATGTAAAAAACCCAACTCATTTGAGTCCCTTAACATAGCTCTAAAAAATTACACTATTTTGATTTACTGATTATTTTTTTACAATAAATACTAAAATATACATGAATATCACTTAAACGAAAATACATTGAATTATAAAAATCTGTTAAAAAGTATATTCAACAATTAGAATAAGATTTATTGTTACATTAATTTAAAGTATTGTAAGATTCACATATTATTTTGGTACCAGTGTAAAATCACTATATCTTTACATAACATATATTTTATTCAACATAAAATTGTATACTACAATTTATAGTCATACAGTTCAGATACTGTGTGGTGTAAAGTGTTATAAGTTAGAGTAAGTTAGCCGAGACGAATTGTTGACAAGTATAAACAAAGTTTATGACATATCTAACAGAGTTCGATAAAAAATACTTATACATGTAGGAAACAAAGTGGAAAGATATTTGTTGCATTATATAACTATCCACAGTATAATATTTCTAAGATGAAATAACCGTTATATATGTACTGAGCATTTGTTGTCGTAGTCTTCCCTTTTACCAGTAATCATAAGGAAAAAGAGTGTTCTAAGCAATTACATCTGCCGCGGTCTTTCACACAAAAGGTATATCTGGAACATTTTGATTACTTCCGAACCTTTGAAGGCCTCAATGTCGACTTACAAGCTCATCTCAATGGCCCGGTAATGTGTGTTGGAAATATCTCCTTCCCCTTTTCCCCTACCCTCGCTATCCCTGCACTTCCCGGAGACAGGATTATAATTGACTGATGAATTATAGCACAAACTAAACAGTAAAAATGGTCAATGACACAAACTAAACAACTAATCCATAGAGATTTGACAACCTATATAAAACACATTGTCATACAGGCATATAACACTAAATGAACACTTAAAGTTACATTTATATCAGTATAATAAAAACGATTACTGATTAACGAATAACTAAAAACATGTAGTCTTAAAGATGGACAGTAGTCACGATACAATTGTTTGTAATATTGGGAAACATGTTGGGCACTTATTTTTGATACAATGTGTTGTGACTGTCACTTAATTCGTATATGTTTAAGAAATAATATTGTTCTTAATCAGCTTTATAACACCGCTTAAAGTTTTGATGTGAAGGAAATTAGGAATTGATCACGAAGGCATTGTAAATAACACGTGCTTAAATCAAAGAAATGAAATAAAGAATCTGATCCATCAAGTACATTTATCATCTAATTTGGCACGTGACCTTCTTTCGCAAATTTTAATAGTCTCAGTGCCTCAACACCTTTCATACCAAAATCATCTCTCAGCATGTCTTTATCTAGATCAGATAGCATGGGACCATCAATTTGCTCATTCTTAAAAGTGTTTGCGTATTTTTCTAGGTTAAGCCTTCTCAGATACTCCGTCACTTCGTCAATAGTGAGTTTCGCGACGTCATCGCGACAGTGCACTTCCCGAACTACTTTCTTCACTTCTTCTGCAACTGGTAATGGTTTATGCTCTTGTTTCGGAGTCGTCTGCATCGTAGGTGAAATCCTTGTTCTCGGGACATCGTTTTGGTAAAGTGAATGCCCAGCGTTTCCTGTTTGGGCAGTTGGCGGAATGCCAGGAATCGCTTTCCGTTCCGGAAGTGCTGGCGAAGAACCATGGCTAGAATCATGGTGCATTTGTGGTTTTGGTGCCAAAGGGGGAGGCGGATGAATATTTTTCGTTTGCGGTTGTGGTTTAAACGAAGTCAATTGGGGTGTGGTATCAGGTTCCTCATTTGACTTTAGTACAGTTTCTAGTTCTTTCTTTAACGCCTGATTTGACGGAGGCTTTATATGTTTTTCGTTTTTTCCGTGTGTCGAGTGCCCGTGTGTCGTCTTCCCGTGTCGTGCTGTGTTGTCAATTTCTTCATAGACGTTGGGGTTATCCTCATGTTGTTTATGTCCCTCGCTGTAGGCTAGATTATCAAAGGATTTCAAAGGTGACTTGTTAACAAGGCTCACAAAGTTGGAGTAAGCCGTCGGTTCTACATAGGAATAGGTGGCATCTGAGTGGATTGCACTTGGATCGTACTCGGCTATGTCTGAAAACATTAATGTACGTATGTTTTGTAAATTAAAATTACAAGTTAAATAATGATAATCATAATACGGTATTTTGTCATGTAAACTTTGAAATTTGTACACAAACTGTAAGGTGTTGTTAACTGAGAATCATTTGATTCACACCGCTGTGGGTTCGAATCCCAACACACACTTTAGATTCTTTCATGTGAGTTAACGTAGCTTACGGGAGGGTAATGGTTCTGATCATGAGAACCCTCGTGCCTGATTTAGTCCACGAAGGTGCATCAAAAGTCTTACTTTACGAGCTGAAATGTAGAAAGATGCCATGCCATGTTTTGGTTTATACAGAATTTATTTTAGTTCGCTTGTTAGGAAGCTATAAGCTTATAGATACACCTTCCTATCCGTTCCTGGAACCAACCAGTATTGACAATGAGTGTTAAGTTTCTTGCGCAAGGAAGCAACGATTTGCCCCTGACGAGTTTGAACCCATGCGGCTAGCAATCATTAGATTAACCATGCAGCCATGCCGCTACTTAAATGCGACATGCGATGTTTTACCTCATAAATATAACTCATACTATATATATTGTTTATCGGAGTATCTATCTAGTCAAACGTGACGATCATAAATTGTCGAGTTTTAAGGTGCTGAACTGTTAGAATATTTCTGAAGTTTTACAATAAATCTATCTATTGACATAATTATATACTAGTATTTGCGTATTCCTTGAAATGTAGCTTTTAAAATATTTAAGTCCATTTTATGTACATGTTCATTTGTATCAATATATATTTCTCTTTTTTTGTTCGTTTCAATCAAAGTTAGTTAGGCAGAAATAAAAAAATGACTCAAATGTAAATAGTTATTTCAGATTTCATGTATCACATTCATCAACCATGCACCTGCTGAACTTCTAAATGAACTTAAAACACCTTCCATTTTTTAACTGTCCGTCATCATTTTTAAGGGATATCAATATAAAAATATAAAGTTAGTCAGACAACAGAATAGAGCAGGGACATTTAGGCTTAATACTGGTGGCAAAACTTTCTGTTCAAGCAAGGTTACGGTAAAGTTTGATCTCTTGTTGAAGATGGAACTCTTACTTGGGTTTCCAAATTCTTGATCAAATTCTATATAAGACGCAGCACGGTCTAATTCCTGTTGGTAGCCGGACCATTTTTCCTTACTTTGACCTTTAATCCCTGTCACGATGGCAAGTCTGAGTTGTGACAGGTATAGCGGTACGTGCACAACTTCCTGGCTCATTACACCTAGAAAATTAGAAATAGAAATGTTTAATAAAACAAGATATTCCTAGTATACAAACGATTATGAGGAAACAACTCGCCATGACATATTTCTAATTTTAAAATTGTTTTTTGCAACATCTTAACACGCCAATCTTAGCATTTTCTAAATAACATTACTCTGATTTTTAGTATAAGCAGCAATATATGCCCGTAACCTTTTAAATTTCTTGTAATAATTTTGCCCTGCTATGAATTTAGAGACTCTAAAAGGGATTTTAAAATCACGATAATAACTTAGCTTCAAACAAGACCGTTTAAGGCAACCCCTCAGTCACAAGGGGGGAGCAAGATAAGACATAACAGGTTAAGGTTCAACCAGTACAGAGCACATCCGGGCAGTCACTTGGTCATAATCTTTACTGGTTGTTACTTTAGTTTTAATAAACTGACAACTGGTATTCCAATTCTATATTCGAAATAGAGAAGGGCTCATCCAGAATGTTTCCTAGTACAAGGATCAACATAAATGAACTTTGAAAAAAAACCCATTAAATTATACTCTGTGCCTGTCAAAGACGTTAATAAATACAAAGCATAGTAAGATCTTTAAACTAAAATGTATAATATACAAACCGTCGGTTATAAAATTTGACAACAGGTAAACCTCATCAAATGTTTGCACGAGTTCCATGCACGGGATATTATTGGTGCTCACTGTTTGGTTACCCACTGTAATGCTGTGGTCCTTCGGAAACTGGACGGTCAACGGGAGCGTATAATCCTTCAAGATTATATACATAGCTTTTGGCTTTCCGTCTTTAAGAAAAGATTAATAAATCATTTATTTAGATAAAATCATATATGTATAATTGTGTGATATACTTTAAACTTACATATATTGGTCATATTTAGTTGCATTTGATTGAAGTATACTCCTAACGCATTGTAGTCAATGTTTCTTTTATTATTCAAACACTTCCACTCCCTGTTTCAAGTTTTAATGCTTTTTGGATATAACGATATTCGAATGTAAAGAAATAAACCCGGAATTTCCCTGAATTTTGGTTTGAGGAAAATTTATTATATATGTTTATTATAATCATTTTGTGAAAGTAGGGTCGATTTCTTGGGTTTTGTCGGTCCAAATCTATTCCCTTCGTAATTTTTTAATTTGGAAATTTTGAATAACCACGTCAACTATAAATTAAACAATTCATATGCATGAAGACAAAAATATACAAGTGAAATATAATTAAAGTTTTATTTCAACTTAAAGTCTATTTTGTAAAGAGGTTTTGAAATAATGTAGTTTGCTCATGTTGATTTCAGAATAAGGCGCCGTCGTACACAGCAAAGGGTATGTTTAAGTCAAATCCTTTTTTTGTTGGAAAAGTTTTTGATAAAAAGAGTTACTCATTTTCCAGTTTCATTTGGTGCATATGTTACTTGCAAATATATTTTAAAATACACAAAAGTTAATTGGATTTTCCAGGCGAAAAAATATTAGACAAAAACATAATGTTTTCTTAGCAAGGTTTACAAAATAAAGGGTTCGACGAAAATCTGATCCGCCTTTCACTAATAACATTCTCAAACTGAGAAAATCTCAACCTGATTCTCAGCCCTTGAGTTGCATGTGCTCAAAAGTATGATAATGAGGAGAAATAGATTCATTTTGCTGATACTTGTACAATTTATAACCATATGTAAACATTTAAACAAGCATGCTTTGGTAACTCTATGAATAAAAACTTACTGTGTCATTTTGAGAGGAAACATATCTAAAATTTTGTATTTAATAGGTTAAAAATGATACAGGGTCGTAACTGTACCATAACGACATTATGACTGGAACGTGTCATTTGATGAGCTTTTCTACTATTACTATTAGGAATTTCTGGAAGTACATGTATGTATACTCCAAATACAGTCGCTAAATTTAACCCTAAATAAAGATGAGCTAAGGCTGAAAGCTAATTAAGATAAATCTCACATCAATAGCATCAATAGTCATAAGCCCCATCAATCAAAGTAACTATATAGCTGTGCAAAGTTAGAGTTTGGCATTAGTTAACTCTGCATACTTTCAGTCACAAGACGGCAAGATCACCCACATCCTACACACAGGAAGAAAATCTACGTTATAAATTATATAAACTAGCTCTATCTGCATTAAAACACAAACATAATTTAGTAACGCAAGTAGAACACATACATTGTAAAACGTAAGTCATAGCAACTCAACGTAGCATAAACGCAACAAAGTTTCATCATTAATATAAGAATCATTCGCTCTAAAACACGCTTACATTTCACTTTAGGTTCATGCATATGCAATAAGTAAAGAAATAAATGAAGTAGGATTTTTTTATTACAGGGTATATAAACCCTTTTGACAAATAAATAGTTCCGTGAATAGGACGGAATGGTAAGAACGTCCATAATGACAATATTTGAGAAGGTAGCAAGCTAGGTTTGACATAGCCTATTCGTGTCCGTTAATGATACTTTTAAGCTATTGTCCACGTCCCGTAGGACCGGCTTAAGCAGAAATTTAGCATTTAGACATAAAAATGCCGGAGCTATCTATAGATATTTGGCTGCAAAAGAATAAAAGTGAGACCCTGCATGTATTGCTGGAGCCAAGTGTCATATGGTATACCGTTTTTTTGTTTATTTCAGTTGAAGAAAAACGAGTGAACACAGAGTTTAATCTTTTAATGAGTAGTGTAGTGAAGCGTTTTTCTTTCTTAACAAGTCATCAAGTTGATGATAAAATGGCATTTTGCCTTCGGCTTCAATGAATTTTACATCAAATGTTACAAAATATTCCACTGTAATATGCCATTTTATCTTTGAAAATTGAATTGAACACTTAATCTAGCAAGAAATTAACACTTTCTAACGTATGTGTTGTTACAAAAGTTGTGTAGCGAAAAGACGAGTCCGACCTGTGTTTTAAATATTTTTATTCTACCTCGATTTTGAAAGCAAGTTCTTAAAACTTGTATCCATAACTTACCGTGTAACTACTCAGCACTGGTTTCATCCGAGTAAAACATAACACAATATAGGCCAAAATTTGGCTTAAAACCAACAGTTCATGCATTTGAAATTAGACATATCTAAATCATTCGGAAAATATTACAAAGGAAAATATTTATCTCTGAAAAGCTACAACCAAAGTTGTTGAATGTTTTTGAGTTGAGTTTTAAGTCACGCCCACACTGTACAGGTTACAACTTTTATAAGAGAGGAAGACTAAATTTACCTGTCCGTGTATTAATTCAGACCCGAGTAGAATACCAAATACGCCCACTGGCTTACTACAAAATAATTTGATAACTTACTCCCTTCATTAAGATATACAATGTTCATGGGGTAATTTGAACCAACAGCGGCGAGGGGTAAGAATTTAAAAGTTAGCGACCTCAACTTCTTGGCCGCGGAGGCTTCAATTTCTCTGGTTGCCATTTATCAGGCATATTTCTGTATGCATTTGCCTGGTTACACAGTGTTTTGCTTCATTTGGCATTAACCAATACAATATGGCATTTAGTGCTGCTTAATTCCTGTAAAGGATTAGAGAGAGTGAAAAAAATCCAGATTTCATGCAAGTCATGGTGAAAAATTCTTATATTCTCATTTACACATTTATGTGGCCTTCTTTCTATTTCTTAATTGTACATAATGTAATGTTTCATTTGAATTTCTATTTCTTAATTGTACATAATGTATTGTTTCATTTGAAACATAACGTATTGCTTATTTATCACTACGTCTTTTTGGGGTCGACAACCTTCACCTCTTGGTCAAGTAGGTTCCAAATTATTTGGTTGTGATTTATCAGACATGGTTCTTATGCCATATTGTATTGGTTAATGTCATATTGTATTGGTTAATGCCATATCATATTGGTAAATGCCATATTGTATTGGTTAATGCCATATTGTATTGGCTAATGCCATATCATATTGGTAAATGCAATATTGTATTGGTTAATGCCATATCATATTGGTAAATGCCATATTGTATTGGCTAATGCCATATTGTATTGGCTAATGCCATATCATATTGGTAAATGCCATATGGTATTGGTTAATGCCATATTGTATTGGCTAATGCCATATCGTATTGGTAAATGCCATATTGTATTGGTTAATGTCATATTGTATTGGTTAATGCCATATTGTATTGGTTAATGCCATATCATATTGGTAAATGCCATATTGTATTGGTTAATGTCATATTGTATTGGCTAATGCCATATCATATTGGTAAATGCCATATCGTATTGGTTAATGCCATATTGTATTGGTTAATGCCATATCATATTGGTAAATGCCATATTGTATTGGTTAATGTCATATCGTATTGGAAAATGCAATATTGTATTGGCTAATGCCATATAGTTAGATATTGTATTTTCCCCTTTTATATATCACAACGGCTTACACAGGTCAGAAACACATAAACAACAAAGGCTATTCTATATATATAATCTACGCTAGCTCTTGTATATACAAATACCTATTTCCCAGCTGTTGTTGGAAAATTGTAATGTGTTTCCTACATAATTTGATATAAGCAAAATACAATCATGTTAACATATATATCACATGTGCCGATACATACAAATACAATATATCAATGATGAAAATAATATAATTTAAGGCGCATTCTTTTAAAGCTGCACGCCTCCTGATAAAATAATGATAATCATAAATAAATAAGTTAAAAATATATCAATATTTATTATATAAGTTTTGTTAAAGCCAATTATGTCGATGTTCATCGAAACTTTACAATCATTGTTTAGTGCTGCTTAATTTCAGTAAAGGATTAGAGAGAGTGAAAAAATGCAGATTTCATGCAAGTCATGGTGCAAATTCTTATATTCTCATTTACACATTTATGTGGCCTTCTTTCTATTTCTTACATATTTTGACAAATTATAAGTATTTTATACATGTATTTTGAATTGTTCGTGCCTTTTTTGTTTACATATAATTTACTTTTTTTTTATTAAAATAGTAATAAATATGGAGGCGTGCTGCTTTAAGATGGAAGTGTTCGGTCACACTACTGACAAAGGTGTACAGTAGTGTTAATAAATATATAATTCTAAGTGTGGATTGACTCACGTTTTCCGCCTTGTTTAACGACACACAATTTTTCTTCATACGACACCGGTATGCTGATTAATCTATGGTGATTCCCGTACTGAAACTTGGCAACAACCCGCCTTTGTTTCGATATTGCATGTACACGAAGAACCTAAGACAGAAAGAAACAATCTGATTTGGAATATATCTCAACTAAGACTGTATTACTGTACAGTACTGAGGTTTTTACTGAGTCTGCATTACTTTCTGAGGCTGCATTACTTTACTGAGGCTGCATCACTTAGCTGTTGCTGCATTACTTTTTACAGATGCTGCATCCCTTTGCTGTAGATGCATTACCTTACTGAGGTTGCATTACTTTACTGAGGTTGCATTACTTAAATGAGGTTGCATTAATTTACTGAGGCTGCATTACTTTAATGAGGTTGCATTACTTAACTGAGGTTACATTACTTTACTGAGGTTGCATTACTTTACTGAGGTTGCATTACTTTACTGAGACTGCATTACTTTACTGAGGCTGCATTACTTTACTGAGACTGCATTACTTTACTGAGACTGCATTACTTTACTGAGACTGCATTACTTTACTGAGGTTGCATTACTTTACTGAGACTGCATTACTTTACTGAGACTGCATTACATTACTGAGGCTGTATTACTTTACTGAGGTTGCATTACTTTACTGAGGTTGCATAACTTTTCTAAGGTTGCATTACTCATCTGAGGCTGCATTACTTTATTGAGGCTGCATTACATTATTGAGGCTGCGTTACTTTATTGGGGCTCCCAAACAGTACTTTATTGAGGCTGCATTACTTTACTGATGTTGCATTACTTTACTGAGGCTGCATTCCTTTACTAAGGTTGCATTACTTTACTGAGGCTGCATTTCTTTACTGAGGCTCCCAAACAGTACTTTACTAAGGTTGCATTACTTAACTGAGTGGGTTTTAAGTCAGGTAATTTATCTGTTATTGCAAACGAGGCGAGATAAGAAATGTTCGTATTTATAGCACGTTTTAAATGAAAACAAACCTAACAAAACAAAGAAAAAACACTTTTGCATAATAACGGTTACTGTCAAATTTAGCATTAATACTTATTACATACACTTATGATTATACCATACAGATAATGGCCATTATAATTGTATACAAATGTAAATAGTCCAATGTATCATGATACTGAAACAATCTACCTATGTTCTTAAAGGGACTTCACTGAAACAATCTACCAATGTTCTTAAAGGGACTTCACTGAAACAATCTACCTATGTTCGTAAAGGGACTTCACTGAAACAATCTACCTATGTTCGTAAAGGGACTTCACTGAAACAATCTACCTATGTTCGTAAAGGGACTTCACTGAAACAATCTACCTATGTTTCGTGAAGGGACTTCACTGAGGTTATTTGACAACACGGGACTGCAAATAATTGTTCGCGATTTACGTACCATAGAAAAATCATTTGTGAGGTAGAAGGTACAGTGGAGAGTGTTTCCTACATTTTAACTATTAAACAATAACAACAACAACAAAATCTTCTGATTACAAGACTTGTGTCTATCTTTCGTGGAAAATTTATGACATTTCATTATTTTAAATCATTAAAAAATAATCGTACAAGTTTATATTTATATCAAAGAAGAAAATGGCTTTTTATGCTTTTATAATTACTTACTACATGTACCATTTATATCTAATTTGCATAGATGTAAAGACCTAACACTCGTACACAGGACGTCATCAAGACCGAAAGTAGTGAACGAAACGGGATTCGGACGAGTGTCTATTGAAGGTGGTGTGAAGGGAAGGTAACTTTACATCTTTAGTACGGAATGCCGTTAGGGCCATCGCCTATGAATGTGTTGATCTAAAACGCGATAGTCGATAGTACGATGGTGAAAACGCGAAATCACGAAACTACGATGGTGAAAACGCGAAAGCACGATGATGAAAACGCGATAGTACGATGATGAAAACGCGACAGTACGATCTACGATGATGAAAAAGCGATACACTATCGTGTTTTCACCATCGTACTGTCAAGTTTTCATCATCGTAGTTTCGTGATTTCGCGTTTTCATCATCGTACTGTCGAGTATCGCGTTTCAGATCAAACCATTCATAGGCGATGGCCCTAACGGCATTCCGGAATGCGATAGTACGATGATGAAAACGCGATAGTACGATGATGAAAACGCGATAGTACGATGATGAAAACACGATAGTACGATGATGAAAACACGACAGTACGATGATGAAAACGCGATAGTACGATGGTGAAAACGCGATAGTACGATGGTGAAAACACGAAATCATGAAACTACGATGGTGAAAACGCGATAGTACGATGATGAAAACGCGATAGTACGATGATGAAAACACGACAGTACGATGGTGAAAACGCGATAGTACGATAATGAAAACACGACAGTACGATGATGAAAACGCGATAGTACGATGGTGAAAACGCGATAGTACGATGATGAAAACACGACAGTACGATGATGAAAACGCGAAATTACGAAACTACGATGGTGAAAACGCGACAGTACGATGGTGAAAACACGATAGTTTATCACGTTTTCATCATCGTAGTATCGTACTGTCGCGTTTTCATCATCGTACTTTCGCGTTTTCATCATCGTGCTTTCGCGTTTTCACCATCGTAGTTTCGTGATTTCGCGTTTTCACCATCGTACTATCGACTATCGCGTTTCAGATCAACACATTCATAGGCAATGGCCCTAACGGCATTCCGTACTTTAATGAGTGTATATTCTTTATTCCAGTTGAAAATTTTATACATTATGGGATACCTGTTAAGGTGATTCCGCTTTGTCAGCCATGTTTGTTTTAACTAAAGTCTGTCAAAAGTGAAAGTAGGCCAAAATTCATATAACAACAAAGCTCTTATTGTAAAATGATGAACCATTTGAAATTACACTTCCAGGTTTATATTTTAAGGACAATTTTAATCAAAAATAAAGATCATAACAATAAGAATATTTACCTTGAATGTGCTACATTTCTGAAGACCAAAAACATTCTGTTGCATTCTGTTGTTCTTGGTCTTCAGAAATTTAGCCCATTCAAGGTAAATTTTCTTATTGTTATCATTTTTATTTTTGTTTAAAATAGTCTTTAAAACATAGAACTGTAAGTGCACTTGCAAATGGCTCATCATATAACAATGTGAGCTTGGTTGTTATATGAATTTTGGACTACTTTCACTTCGGACAGACTTTGTGAAAACAAACAAGGCCGACAAAGCGGAATCACCTTAACAATCTCTCCATTATAATGCCGAATAATTGAAGGTGAATTCAAAAACATAAATTATAAAGCAACAAAAAATCGTTGTTTATATTTTATTTAATTATCTAGAACAGGGCTGTATTCTAAATGACATTAACACAGTAATACTGTAAGATATAAATTTATATCATGGACACAAACCTGCTCTCTGTCGAAAGTGTCCTCTACTATCTCGCCACAGAATCCTTGATTCACCATCACAGTTTTCGGCAAGTCATTATTGAAGTGCTCGTAAAACTCCGCCACATTATAATCCTTTGTCTCGTGCACAAATTCCATTCCTCTAAAAAAAGAAACACGTTAAAACAGTGTCACTAATTATGATTCAATATATATGAAAAATAAACTATGCACATTCATCACGTTCGTTCAGTAGACCACCAGTTATTACGTCTCACAATGAAAGTCAAATAGTTAGCACGTGTTTCTCTTCCGGGTTATCCAACAACGTTATATACATATCATAAAACCCTCATAAATACTAGATTACCAAACATATTGAGCATGCATATCGTATAAAAATCAATCAAGCAAAATATTCGTATCAATACAATGAAGTTTATGTAATACCATCTTTGTTAAACATAGGTTTCAATTTATAACACAACAGGTAAAACGTAAACTACTAACGTCACGGCTTAATTGCTGTGTAGTAAACATTTGTAGTATATGTGCTTGATTATCATTAAATGCTGTATGGAAAATAGTTGACAGCATGTTTGGACAAATCAACCTTACATGTGTTTTTTCCCAATCTAATAAGCATTCAACCTTCAACAAATTACGACGTTAACGGTACGGTTAAATACCACTATAAATTATTACAACAAGACAACGTTACGTCATTATTATTTGGTTCTTGGAGTAACTTATTGAAATACTGTAAGTGCCGAGGATTGAATATTACTTTAGCCGGTGCCAGGGGCGGGCACCTTTCGTTATTTCTCTTGAACACAGACTCTAAGAATATTAATCCATGTCTGCCATTTTTCAACATTTTTTTTTGGCGGTGAAAAATGTAAAAAAAACAAACCTGTCACGAACTTTCGGCGTTATATTTTTTATGCGACGTGGAAGCGTTAGTTTATTTGTAGTTTTACCAGGATCACCGCCCTGCTTATGGCGTTCTTCCTCTGAATCTTGATTCGTCCCTGAAATAGTTCGACCCAATAAAGCCCGTAAATGACTTCTGTGTATTTTATCATTCAAATCCTGACCGCTGTTCGATGTATTATTAGCCATTTCAGTTTTGCAAAAAGAATATATCCAGTCCGTTTAAAAGAAAACAATACGAGAAACAAACAAATAAAATGAACAATTTTTGTGTGTCCGAGTCTGTGTTTTATTTTGTTAACATTGTTAATTAATATTTCACATAAATGTCTAACGTTTGTTGTAAATGTTCAATAAGGTACTTCCTCGTTGATAGCCTGCATGTGAGTAAATCTAACGAGATAACATTCAAATAGATAAAAATATATGACGGCAAATTAGATAAAACATATATCACATGAACACGTGAAATATTTTAACGATAAGGGTATGTGGGATTCGCATGTAATCCTGGCTTACATGAATGTTTTTATTATATAATATATCAACTTATCATGCCACAATTATTTAACGTATTTTACCGAAGTGTGACGGAAACAGCCGAGTTTTATAAATCGCAGTAGATGTTACTGGCCCTGATGATGACGACGACTACAACGACAAGAAGAAGAAGATGAAAAACAACAAGAACAAAGACGACAAGAACAACAAAAACAACAACAACAATACCACCACCACCACCAACAACAACGACGACGATTATGATAGTAAAAAAACAAATCAATAAATGAACAAATAAATAAATAAAAAATAAATAAATAAATAAAGAAAGAAAGAAAGAAAGAAAGAAAGAAAGAAAGAAAGAAAGAAATAAACTAGCATAGGGCCTTAAAAATGGTAACTTGATCCTCAAACTCGAACGGTTTAGTCAGATATGGCGGCCATTTGATACTCATGTTATATTTTGCTTTTTTGTGCATTACCATATACAAGTCAAATTAAAGAAACATAAACTGTTACAAAGTATTTTATCTAAATTTCAAATTAAAATGAAAATAATATACTCGGCTCTGTGACGTCTGAATTTGACTTATTATTGGAGAGGTAATCAGACCTCTCCATAGTGTTCAGACTGATTGCTGACGGCATCCATTTTTTGCGTATCTTATTGCAGTGAATGAATCTCATTTTAAGCGTAAAATCATTAGGAGCAGTCTACAAAAATTGTTTTAGGCATGCCCCGATTCAAAACACGGCTTAACTTAAACGAATAATTAACATCGAAGTGAACAAATCGGTACATAGAAAAATCGGAAAATATCATTAACGTTACTTAACACTACGTGCATGGATGCTTCATACCGTATCTGTATAAATCGATTATCGTATTGTTTTCTGAATAACGTTTTACTATTTCATGTTCTGATAAATAGTTACAGTGAACATTATAGCTACAATATCACCATGCACTATATACACCGCCTCCGTGATCGAGGGGTTAGAGTCGATGACTATTAATCCAGTAAACTCTCTGGCGTGGGTTCGATCCCCGGGAGATGTTTTTTTTGTTAGTTTAAGGTTGTCTAGTACTGGTGTAACTCTCCAGGAACGATGGTTAGGAAACTACCCGCCTATATGACCAAAATACTATTGGGAAAAGGCGTATAATGAAACAAACAAACATATTATATGACCGAGTGAACCGTGTATTGAACCGGTATATCTAAATAACACAAAGGATTTTTTTGGCGCAAATGGCACAAATTTTATCTCAAGTTTGATTTTCTTCTAATATTGTGTTTGGAGGCATGCAGCTTTATATACTGTTTATTCCAATAAACAGTATATAACAGTATAACAGTATATAACAGTACATTGTATTTACTGTTTATTCCAATCAAATGATATCAACATTTTTTATGTAAACTTGTTTGATTAACATACTTTATACTCGTTTTGGAAAATGTAGAGGAAATGCTTCCTTATATTTAACAAAACAGTGACCGAAAATTTGCTTATTGAACTTTACAAGAAACTTTTATTTTGAAAATACTTTTAATATATATATAATTTTTCTACATAGGGAACTGAATTTAAAATACAAATGTAAATGATATATATCATTTAATTTACATTAAGTAATTTTACATTTTTTTTGTAGAAAAATTATCCCTAATGGGCCAAGAAAAAAGTCCATTTCTCCGGCATTTAATCTTTTAAAACATTAAAAAATGAAATGTAAAACAAACTTTCATTGCAATATATATAATAAATTATATTTTGTTTAATAATTGTAATTTATAAACATTCATTGTGTCTGTTATGCAAAAATATCCCCAAATATTTTCGAATTAAACAAATTTTCCACAGCCGCAAAAAGACCTCTCGCAAGCTTCTTTTTAAAGAAGCAAACTTGTATTGTGATCAGAAGTAACTGCTGCGGGCAGTTTGCCCGACTCTACATAGAAAAATACACAAAAACTGCGCCAAACCTGCAATTTTCAGTGACATAATTTTCCTTGAGGTCCGTTTTAACCAGGATGTCATGGTCCCAGTAAACTCGAACCCACAATCTAGAGATTGTAGCTATAGGAAGACACCTTAGCCTTTAGCCGCTTCCTAAAGGACTAACAGATTTGCGTTGATTTACGGAAAAAATGTTACCTCAAAAGAAAGTAAAACCAAAATAACTTGACAGCACGTTTATTTTCTCAAATATTTGCGATCCAAATATTTAAAACCACGTTTATCGTTTAAACATCAATAAACAAAGATGATATTGTGTTAGACCATATAAACGAATTTTTCTTTAACTTCCTTTTTTAAATCGACAAATGAAAATTTTTAACCGTGTTTATGAATGGAATTATTGTGCACTTATTATATTGTGTTAGTACAAAAAAGTTCAGTAGAGCTTAAAAACACGGTAAATCTGTCACGTTTGCCACTTGTTAATCAACATTTCAATTTTCAAGGGGGTCATGCCATGCGCGCGCATCCTCAAAATTCTTATACCGCGAACACTTTTTCAACCGGTATTTTGAACAAAAACGAGTCATTTAAAGCAATCAGAATAGATTTGAATTTAATTTCTTTTGCAAAGAAGATGTTCTTACTTCTTGTTTAAATGCTCCAAATGCCTTGACACAAGTCTTCCTTTTCTTGTCAGTATTTCGCGTTGAATGCAATTTTGAATCTGGATACTGCGTTGAAATGTTACAGAAATTCCGAAATTCACAAAGCTGGAAGTTATTTAATTGTAGAACCTGTTTCATAAATACATTTAGACTTGTGTCAAGGCATTTGGAATATTAAAACTAGAATGGTATGGCCCCTTGTATTTGTTACATTCATTTTCCGAACTTGTAATTTGAACTTTTGTACAGGGTTTAGTTCATATACAAATAAAGTGCAAGGGAATTCCCTTGCACTTTATTTGTATATATATCAATGCCAGCATGCAATGCATGTATGTGAATTATAACCAGCTTATAGTTCATTCCGCCTGTTTCTTGGCGATCAATTTCATCAATCGGAACATCCTCGGCTTTTATCTATAATAACATCAGAGTTAATACGAATTGAAAGTAGTTCTACCACGTGGTTTCAGATGTGAGTGTAATCTTCAATAATGTAAAAAGAAGGTATATAATTGACATGCAAAACAACATAAAGTCTGTTTTGCTACAATTATTATTGAAAATATGCGTGACAACCATTTTTAATTTAAATATGCGCACTGATGTACAATTTTAATCAAATCCGACTTAATGTCAACAGGATTGCATTTTGTACTTTCGGTTTTTACAACCATAATAATAAATATATAAATAATGCATTGTGTTTTTTTGTATTTATGAATTCATTTGTTTAAGGTGGACGGTCACTTGATATATTGGAAATAAACTTGTCAACAACTCCCAACATTAAATTACTATTTGTTTACATGTTTAGTTTCTTAGTGTAGGTTTGACCGAATACCTTATCCTATGGAACGCCGTGACTGTCTTATGTAATCAATGTTTTTGTTATCTTGTGAAACAATGATATTATTTTGTCGTTTGAGCATGTTAACATGTGCAATTTACATCATGTCTTGTCAAAGGAACATGCTTACTTGTACAAACAGCATGTTAACTTGTCAAATTATTATGATGACATGTGGAGGCAACATGCTAACTTGTCAAAGTATCGTGATGACTTGTGCAAATGACATGGTAACTTGTCGAATTATTGTGATGACATGTGCAAACACCATGTTAACTTGTCAAAATGTAATGATGATTTGTGCAAACGACATGTTAACTTGACGAATTATTGTGATGTCATATGCAAACAGCATGTTAACTTGTCAAAGTGTCATGATGACTTGTGCAAACGCCATGTTAACTTGTCAAAGTATATTGATGACTTGTGCAAACGACATGTTAACTTGTCGAATTATCGTGATGACATGTGCAAACAGCATGTAAACTTGTCAAAGTATCAGGATGACTTGTGCAAACAGCACGTTAACATGTCAAATTACCATGATGACTTGTGAAGACAACATGTGAACTTGTCAAAAAATCGTGATGACTTGTGCAAATGACATGTTATTTTGTATCATGCTGACATGTCAAAAAGTACTGTTAACTTGTAAAAGTATTATGATAACTTGTGCAAATGCCATGCTAACATGTTAAAATTCCAAGATGACATGTGTATACAGCATGTTAACTTGTCGAATTATCGTTATGACATGTGCATACAGCATGTTAACTTGTCCAAGTATCATTTTGACTTGTGCAAACGAAATGTTAACTTGTCCAAGTATAATGATGACTTGTGAAAATGCCATGCTAACTTGTCAAAATTTCATGATGACATGTGCAAACAGTATGTTAACTTGTCAAATCATCGTGATAACATGTGCAAACAACATGCTAACTTGTCCAAGTATCATGGTGACTTGTGAAAGCGACATGTTAACTTGTCAAAATTTCATGATGACATGTGCAAACAGCATGTTAACTTGTCAAGGTATCGTGATGACTTGTGCAAACTCCATTCTAACTTGTCAATGTATCATGATGACTTGTGCAAATGCCATGTTAACTTGTCAAATTATCATGATGACTTGTGCAGACAACATGTTAATTTGTCAAAGAATCGTGATGACTTGTGCAAAACACATGTTAACTTGTTAAGGTATTATGAGCATGTCATCACGATAATTCGACAAGTTAACATGCTGTTTGCACATGTCATCATGAAATTTTGACAAGTTAACATGTCGTTTGCACAAGTCATCATGATACTTTGACAAGTTAACATGTTGTCTGCACATGTCATAATGATTATTTGACAAGTTAACATGCTGTTTGAACAAGTCAGCATTGTCTTTAG